CTCCCCCTCGTGTGTCGCCACTGTCACCGACTGTGCACGATGGAGGAGCTTCCCCCACTGCCATCAGCCCCGCCCCGGCTGACCTCGAGGTTTCAGGCCCTTGAGTGATTTACTAAAATATGAATATTGATCTAATATCGATATCCGACTGAGACGGACAAAAACTCTCTAACAGTTTAAAGCTAAAAAGTGTATGTTTATTAGAATGGCTGGGCAGTATGTGGGATAATTCCCTAATGCGCACTGCAAAAATCACAGGTATTACAAAGCCTTTTTATTTACAGAAGTCTTGAATACACAAAATATGAATGCATATTCATATTCCTGTCACTTCCTCTGCTCCGCTTCGTATGCTAACTGGCAAAAAGGCTATTAAGCATGCGTAGTTTTGTTCCCTGAAATGAGTCAGGGGTCCATTCTGGGGAGGGGTCTCCAAAAGAAGAAGTAAAATAAGTCTTCCTTGTTCTGACCTTTCTACCCTTCCCATGCATATATGACAAATGAACCCTTGGTTTTCTTGTGTTTAATGGATTCCTAGAGTATGGGAAGTCTGCATCTGTTTGTGTGTCCCTGAAATCTGTTTATCACATTCTGTTTCTCATGATAAGCACAGCTACCCAAACATAAAGTTGACAAGCAATGAGTTAATGGATCTGGCTACTGTTAACTATGAACAAAGTCTATTTATCTACTTCCACTAACTCAGCAACATCTAATTTAACTATTATCTTAACTTTCCTAAGATTCTTAATTCTTCAAAATTAGTGTTTCACAAGGAGGTTGTTCCTTTGTCCCACCCTGAACTGGCTGCCTCTTTGGAGGCGACTCTATTCAATGGCGATCCTGGGGTGTGCACTGAGAGCTTTTCAGTGCCATCATATGCCTGAGAGGTAAAAGCATCTTTAGTTAAGTGCTTGTTTATTAAAAGCAAAATTTTAAAAAGAGAAGTGAATCTAAACTATCCCTCATTCTGGAGCATGAGACCATTGCTTGGGTTGGCCAGATTCAGGTGCTCATTTTCAAAGGAAAAATGCACACTGTAGATTCATGCACGTAGATGAAGTGGAAACTTTTTTGGTTATGTTTTTAATCCTAAGGCGTATTTTGAGAATTCCCACAGAAGGCAAACATTTTTGTTGAAAACCCAGGGAAATGGTTAGATGGAGTTACTAATTTTATGTCTTCTATGGAAAATACAATTTTTAAACATTTGGTTGGTACAAAGCATGCCCATATTTTATGGCACCTGACAAGTTGTGACTGTCCTTTGCTCAACCTCTGGTCCTTCTTGTATAGAAAACTGTAAGTCTCATGTGCAGAGAGGGACATGCGAGAGGTCATTCTATTAGAGCACCAAATGCACTCTCTCCTTTTGCTTTGAACACAAAGGAAAAGAAAAAGGTTGGCTGCATCTCTTGCTGCTGCATGAGACCTGCCTATTATGTAGGCACTTGAAATGCCATGTTCGTGTATGTGTTGAAGCTACTCTTTTTTTTTATTTTGTCCTCTCAGTATCCTGATGCCTTCAATTAAGTTTCTACATGGGAAATCCTCAGCTGGTGCAAACTTGCCACTAGTGTGCTGTCTGTGTTGCAATGATTAGTCATCTTCCTCTTGGCTGTCTTTCAGAAAGATGTATATTCTAGTGTATCCCTTACAAAGCTCCAGCCTGGACAAGGCTGTTCTGTTCAGTGCTGGGTAGAGAGGAGCATGTCCTTGTGCCAGCACACACAGAGGTGGCAGGACTTCCTCCTCAGTGTCCACTAAGTGAATTACCTTGCCTGCACTTCGAACTTTACCAGTTTTGACAGCTTTTCAGCAGCGTTTCGAGAAGTGCATATTTTCCATTGTTGAAGGCTTTGGCAATTACAGCCCAGATTTCATCCTTAGGAATAGAGGGATTAAGCGTGTCAAGGTGTCTTGGTTTTGAGTCCTCATAAGTTGTGTGTATGATGAGAAGGTTATTGTTGATCCTGGATGTGAAGTGGTTAAAGATTTGCAGCTTGTTCTGTGTTGAAGAGTAGTTCAGGGACTACTTGGCCTTTGGTTTGACAGCTTCATTATTTTGATTAAAAATGTCCTTTCTTTAACTCTTGGCTCTTTCCTGACTTCTCTGGCTGTTTAGCTCCTGTATTGACGCAGCCTTTTTGCATATTTTTATACGGCTCCATCAAAAAATGCCTATTTCTATTAATATACACAGGCATTGTCCTTGAAATATTTGAGTAAGAGCAGACTAAAGGTGCGGAGTGTGATCTTTTGGAACTATCCATTTCCTTTTACTCAGTGTGATGCCCTTTTGTCTTCTGTACATTCACACGTACCAGTTTTCAAAAGCCTTCTCTTCCTTAATAGAAGGAAATCTTTCAGGCTCTAAACAATCATTCATCTTCAAGATACTGATGGCTAGCCATTTGCAGAAGAGACTTACATTCTTTAACAAGTGATAATGAGAATATCTTTCTGTCTAAAGATAAATTCCAGGTACTTAACTTCAGGCCTTTACTTGCTTAGTGGAACAGAAACCTAACTAGGTTGTCTAGCTTTATAAAGTTTTTTTAATCCTATAAACTTTTGCCACGTAATAATGGAAACATACCCGTGCAGTAAATGGTTGCCTACAAAATACATATGGAGCGAGAGAGAAGAGCTCCAAAAAGCAAGCCACATGTTATCATTTAATAATTATTAAATTATTAATTTGTAATTAGACCTAGTAATTGTACAAGGTGAGTGAGATTCACAGCCAGAAATTTATGGCTTATGAATGTAGTTTTGCACCACACAGACCTGTGCAGTGGTTTGAGCAAGATCTCTCAGTAATAACATACATGTAAGTCTAGTGGTAACTAGGAAGGCACCTTGATTTCTCCCTCTGGGTTTCTCCTTGTTTCTTACAGCTAGTGTCACAAGCAAGGGCAAAGCTCAGACTGCGAGGACATGTATTCTTACTTGCTGTATTCTGGGGTTTTTTTTGATTCTGTGTTTTGATTAATAGGTATTTTGTAAGAGTTTGAGTTTCCATTTGTCAAATGTCTGAATTTAAAAGGCTGGCCATGTTAACCATGTTAACAGTGTTAATCTTGTGTTACATGTCCTTCCAGGGTGGGGAAGAACAGTTATTACTGTGTCCCAAAAATGATTACAAGAAAATAGCAAGTGATCATTGGGTTTGCTTCTTTTTTCTTTTTACTTTTATTCGTTCAAGAAGAATATTTTGGGTCAGTGTGTGTCTTCAGGAAGTGAGCCTGTGAACATTGTGGTGGAAGAGAGAGCTTCACTTGACAAAGCATGAGATGTAGGAACAGTGCCCTTAAACCAAAGGACCCTGGTAAGAAGAGAGTCTACATGTTTTTGGAGATGACTGAGACAGCTACTCTGAGTCTGACTTCTACAGAAAGGGGAGATGAGAGTAGTTCATCCAAGAGCTGACGGAAGAGTCGAAGAAGCGGTTACTCACTTCACAGGGTAGTTTCTCTGTCCCAGGTAACAATGTTAGTTAATAACTCATCTCACAATGCCCATCAGTTTCTACCATTTAAGTGAGGAGTGAGGTCTCTTTTCAGTACAGAGAATAAACAAGCTGGAGTTCTTTTCATGAAATGTGAATGTCTCTGTTCAAAGTTCTTGTGGGTGCCTTTTACAGTGCTAGTGTTGCAGCTTTTTTCAGGATACTTCAAAACCTTAAAGTTTTGAAAACTTGGAAGCATTCCTATTCTTTAAACAGCAGGCTTCAAATTTCCAAGGGAGAACCTGCCTTTTGGACCATGTTTTATAGTCTCTGGTAAAAGTAGAATTGCTAGATGTGCTGCCAGGGGAGACATAAACTAGTTCCAGTGTTGACTCAGTGTTCCCTTTGCTTCCTAGATGTCCATCTGCTGTACCTTTCCAGAAAGGCTGCTCTGCATAAGAGGAAGCTACCAAGGGAAAGCCTGTGAAAATAGACCTGGGATCCCTCTCTGTATAGTTACACTTATAGATGTATTATGTTGTTGTACTTACACGGTTAGAGGTATATGGCTATTTAGATAGATATACTGATATTTGCATGCTTAGACATAGGCCGTACAGTTATAGCAATCTGCAATAAATTAAATTTTTTAACTGAAATTGATATTTTTCTATTTATATGTAGTCAGCAAACTCTCTGCCCATGTCTCTCTCCTGGGCAGGATGTACATCCTGTCTTATCCCTGAGAGTTCAGCTGAGTCTTCCAGGGTGAGGAGGAACAGCAAAATCACTGCTGTCACTCTCTATTGTCCTTGCAGACCCTGAGGGCTGTGGACACCATGCTGGAACCAATGGTGCTCAGATCGCCTGCCTCCAGAGTCAATGAGGAGCTGCATTAGATCTCTGAGCTCCGGCCTGTGAAAAGAGTGGACGTCACAGGGCTGTTCCTCACCCTAGGTAGGAGGGATTGCCCGCACCTGGGTAAGTGGTTCCCAGCCCAGTGCCATGCAGGCAGTGTGCCGTGGGGAGGGTGCTCAGTTCCCCTAGAGAAGCACCAGGGGCTGGCACCAAGCTCCTTTGGAGTACAGTGGCTGCAGGGGTTGGCATCTGCCTTGCAAGAGGGTTGGCCTGGAGCCTTTGCCCCAGCTCTGAGAGGGACTCTTGGAGCAAGAGCCTACCAAGACTTCACTCAAGGTCAGAGGAAGGCTTGAGGGACCATGCAAGCCTTCCCAGAAGTGGAGTCACACCTGCGCATGAGCCTGTGGAGAAGCCTGGCTCCCTCCCCCTCTGCCCACAGCAGCACAGACACTCCCAACCTTTCCCAAGAGCTGCAACACAACCACAGCCACAGCAGCATGCCCTGCACTGCCACCACTGCTCTGCTCCGTTTTGCTCTACTCTGCTCCTCTAGTCACTGCTGCCAGCCTGTCTCTCCACAAGAGGTTGTGGCCTGGAGGCACCAAAGGCAGAAGTCCTTTGCCCGCTTACAATCCATGCCACAAACCCCTACTATGGCTCTTCCTACATTTAAGAAACACCTGTCCATTCAGAAGCAAATTTAGAGCTTATTCAGAGGGTGAGAACAACGGGAGGCTTCCAACACAGTGAAGGTCTTACATATTGTAATAAATGGGCAGGAGATGATTCTCCTTTAAAATGCCTTTATTTAGTGAGATCAGCTCAGGTGGGAGCCCAACAGGCTGTGCACATGCCAGCTGCTGCTTCCCGGAGGGACGCTGAGGAGGAGGAATTCAGCTTTGTCCGCTTCAGCTGCAGGCAGAGCTGGGGAATCCATCCTCACAGGAGCGGCAGGATTCTTCCCCTTCTTCTCACGGTCTGTGCTATGGTCTAGGGTCCTCATACTGTTTGAGGTGTCTAGTGGTTAGAGTGACAGATTAAAAGCATCTCTCTAGGTACTAGGGTTAGATGCTCACTCTTCTGCAAGTGTCCCGGTGTATAATTTTGTGAAGGCTCATAGTTCTAGGTGATTCTAGCATAGTTTCTGAAGAGTTCCTGTATTTGCATACTGTCTCTGATGTCAACTCCCCCTGACAGGCCCAGGTGCCATTTTCTAGGAAGCAGCAGCCGGCAGCACAGTGAAACAGAATCTAACAGAGAAGGATTTCTAACAAGGAATGAATGCAGGGAAGTGATTAACAGTAATAACAACATTCTAACAGAGGATAATTCTATAACCACGTTAGCATAACTTTTAGGCTCTTCTTTTTATAACATGTATTGCCTTATTTATTTTGACTACCAGTCTAAAGAAACTACGAACTAGGAGCTATAAACCAGAAACTAGAAACTACAAAAAACACCAATGGCCTCTTGCAGGGCTAGTATCTCCTGTCGGCCATAAACTGCTGCGTTGCCATGATCAGAGGCGTCAGGCTGGAGGTCGGCTTGGCTGAGGTTACAAAAGGATGCTGCCCAAAGAGAAAAAGAAGACATTAATTTCTACTGACCTCACAGGCTGAAACTGGCTTTCTCTGGCAAGCAGAAAGATACACAAAGGAGGGCATTCTGTGCACCTCTGTCTCCACATCCAGGACCATGCTACATGAGCCAAACATGGCTCCCAATCCCACAAATCCATTAACCCAGATGGCTTCAGATGAAAGAGATTTGGTCTAGGCGACCTGGAAAGGCTCCTTCCAACCCATACCAGGCCAGGATTCTCCTCTGTTTTCCTTTGAAAAGCCCCCAGACTGGAGATTCTCAGGAGCAGGGCCCATCTGCCGCCTTGGACTTGAGCAGACGAGGAGCCCCTGGCAGCGGGCGGCCGGCGCACCCGGCAGCCGCTTTGCCTTTTACCTGCAGAAGTTCCTGGGCAGACCAGCGCCTGTCCTCGTCCGTCTCCAGGCAGCAGCACAGAAAGTCTCGCAGCCAAGCCGACTGTTGCCTGGGCTTCTGCAGCTTCGGGGTGCCCCTGGTGCTTATCAGCTGCTGAACCTGGAGAAGAAGGAAATGCCACGCTCCACCTGTCTCCTTCACACGCCAAACTGCTCACACAGACCCCACTGGACAAGCTCCACTCCCCAGTGGCTCTTTACTCCCTGCCAGAGGGAGGGAGATACCTTTCCTACCCCTACTAAAAGAACCCAAAGCCAGAGGCAGCCGTAGCCAGTCCAACATGCAAAGGCTCTTGCCTTGACCCCTGATTTCATTGGCTGATGGAATTAGGAGCAACTCCATCAGCAGCAGCACACTTTGCTTCTCTCAGCACTGACACCAGCTCTACAGGCGAGGTGGAAGACAGACTTTAATCTAACTTTACTATTTCCAAGGATTCCTCCCATAAAATGCAGCTCACTGCTCCTTTAGGTAAAGCTGCTCACTGCTCTCTTAGGCAAAGCTTCCATCAAGGAAAAGGCATAGTGATTTTCTTGTGCTATTCATGATGAAATGCCAAGGGGATAATCTGGGCAAGAAGCATAAGAGACTATGCAGCCTGGCACCTATCATTGTCAGGTGTTAGCAAGCTTCCCAGGCAGCAGAATGGGAGTAGATTTAGTCAGAGTGACAGGAGCATCTGAGGGTAGTTGCAGCGTACCGTGCGGGAGGTGTTCATCAGGTAAGGAGGTGCTCCTTCCACCATCTCGATCCCCACAATTCCAAAGGACCAGATGTCCACTTTGGGGCCGTAGGGCTTCCCTGTGAAAATTTCTGGCGCCATCCAGTGAGTAGTCCCAACAGCTGATCTCCGTTTGCTCTGCTCAGAGGTGAGCTGAGCAGCAAGGCCAAAATCAGCTGAGGAGAAAAAACACTCAGATCAAGCCAGCGTGAAAAAGGAAAGCAAAGAAAAGAATTCCCCACTGAATCAATATCTTAGAAGGCAGTGTGGAATCCAGCTGTACCAGGGGCATGCTGCTATTCCTCGAGCCTGCAGCTGAGGAAATACGCAATTGGCCACTTTGCAAAAGCCCCCGACTTCAGGCAGTGGCTTTTAGTCCCCTGAAGCTATTAGACTGCTGCTGCCTTGCTGGGGAAGGGACACACACAAGCCAAAGGCACTCCTGACCCCTTCTGCCCAGCTACAGCTCCCTGCACCTTGTGGCTGTGCTCTGCGCTGGCAGCAGGGCAGCCTGCACTGCCACAGGCACCAGGGAAGCGGCAGCACCCAAAGGCAGCCCCACACCGCAGCCCGCCACGGCTGAGCCTGGCCAGCAACACCCACCCAACTTGACAGAGCCGTCCAAGCCCAGGAGAATGTTGTGGCTTTTGATGTCTCGGTGGATCACTTGCTTGGAGTGAAGGAAATCCAGGCCTTGCAGGCACTGAGAGAGGAAAAAGAAACACGAGCCTGAGTGGATTGCGTCCCACAAGCAGGGCAGTGGCACACCTGCAAGACTGACTTCCTGGGGGTTGGTGAGCCACGGCAGGCCAGGCTGCTGGCAAAGGCAGCAGAGCTGGCTGCTCCAACACGAGGACAGCAGAGCTTTTCTAAGGGCGTGGCTGTTTGCTTTTGAAAGGGAAAGGGCAATTGTTGCTCTGGCCAGTGCCCTGCAAACACAGACTCAAGGTGCACAGCTGCAGTGCCTGTACTCTCTGCAGCCAGACAACAGTGTCTGCTTTTGCAAACACCACTTGGGGTGCAAAGCTCTCCTTTGAGGCTGAGCTCTGTGAGAGTCCTGTGAGGATCTCTTTGTCTTTGCCACTTGCTCAACATGGTGCCACCAGCCACTTTGCTCTTGTGGGGAAGGAATGCAGCACTCACAGGCTCCAGGCAAAGCTTTAGAGAGGCAAACACAAACACACTAGAAGAAGGGCAGGCACATTGGCAGGCACTTCATCTGCTCTTGCTACTGCCAGGCGTAAGAGAAATGCAGAAAGGAAGCTTGGAAGGGGAAATCTCTCCTCTCCTTATCACCCATTTGGAAGGGCCGTCCCGACCAAGCCATGGGAAGAAACAAGCGCCATCCCTTACCTCCCGAGAGACAGCTGCTATCTCTCCTTCTGCCATATGAGTCTCCCTAATGACATCGTGTAAAGAACCTCCGTCCATGTATTCCATCACCAGCCAGAGTTCCTCATCCACCAGGTAGCTGAAAGGAGGAAACAACAGCCTGGAGATGAAGGTGTGCACTTACATGACCTGATGGATTCTTGCTCCTGTGTCTCTCTCAGAGGAAGACAGGAGGAATAGTCATTCACAATGCTCTACAGGGCTTGAACTCTATGCAGTCTAAAGGCTGCTTGGTATCCACACCAATGCAACAGGCCAAGGGAAATACAATCTACAGCACTTTGTCAGCACTGGAGTCCCGTGGGAAAAAATCAATTGCCAAAACAAATGAAACCATGTGGAGAGAGGACAGGAACTTTGAGGCTGTTGGCTCAGTGAGACAGGGCCAAGGCTGGTCTTTGAAAGCACACTTCAAACTAGGTATGCCAGCAAAAATGAACGCAGCCCCAATGCAATCTCCTCCCAGGACGCTGTAGATCAGCCCAGAAGCAGGAATTAACAGCTCCATCCTCTGCCAGCCACCAAAGGAGTGGCTGAACTTCTGGCTTGCAGGATGTGAATGACCTTTCATGGCAGAACAGCAGAACCACTCACCTGTCTACAAAGGTCACAAGATTGGCATTCTTATTGCCACGCATGATCTGGATTTCATTCAGGCACACCTCGCTGTTGCTCTCTTCCAGGAGACTAATTTTCTTTATGGCCACCTAAAACAACATGGAAAACATGAACCAAAGTTGGTGGCACAGAACCACCAGGGGAACACGGAGACAGTGATGATGGGGTGACAGAGCTGGGCTGGGCCAAGCTGCCTTGTGGCTGGACATCAGACCGCTTGCTTGGGCACCTCCCAGGACAAAGAGCCAGATAGCCTTTGCCTTGGAAACCTGGCAGAAACATGGTCTATGCTGTCCACCTCAAAGCTCTAACAACACTCACCGTTCCCACAGACTTCCCCCATGGCTTTACTTGATCATCCCCATTTTCATTCACACACCTCTTGCAAGCAGAAAGTCAATTTCTGCCAGAAAACATGGAGCAAAACTGCTGGACAACCTCTAGGGGGCTTGATCATTCCACTGGCATTCTCCCTTTCACAGCAACAAAGCAAACTCTTCCAGACATGACAGATCAAATGCTGTCCTAAAACAGTTCTGCAGAAGCTGTGGCGCTGCTTGACGCTTACCTCTTCTCCTGTGGCAGTCTCCACTGCCATGCACACCGTGCCAAAACCCCTAGAAACAAAACGGCCGCAGAGAAAGAAGAAGTCCTTTAGTCCCTGCAAGTGCAGGAATCCACAGTACAAGAGGAAAAAAGTCCAGGGACAAAGAGTAAATGGAAAGAACTGTGGCTGCACTCACCCTCTGCCAATTGTTTCCAGTTCTGTGTATTTAGCCTCAGGATCTCCCTCGCTCACCAGCATCTCTGTAAAAATCCCAAGGAAAGATGCTCCCTTCAAAAGAGATCCCACCGTGCAGCAGATCAGAAAGGCAGCCCCACTCTCTGGGACACTGCGCCCTTTCAACTCACTCCCTCAGGAAACAACACCACCACCACCTAAAAAACAACAGCAGCAGGACAAGCAGCCCTGCAGCACAGATGGCCTGTCCAAAACTAGGAGTCAAAACTAAAATCTAAGCACATCAAGAAACAGTCAGAGGAGACAGGGATCAGAAAAGTGTAAGCAAGAGAAGTGATTGTTGCCTACAGACATTAAGGACAGCAGGACAAACACAACCTTTCTGTTCGGGCAATGAACACTCTGGGACATTCAACAAAAGATTTAATCCTTGCAAACATGCAAGGCATCTTGGCTTCTGGAATCCATTTTTATCAACAGCTGCCCTTTCCAGAACAGGAAGAATATTGCAAAGTGCCTCCAGCAGAGCTAAGAACTCCATCTTGAAACAGGACTTTGCATAAACAAGGCCCTTCTGCCGCTCAAGAGCAGCAGCTGATGTTCTACCCTACTGTGATGGGCCTTAGGAATGAGGTCCCTCAGCTTTTAGGACAGGCTGAGCTCTGAAGATGACCTTGGCCGTGCCCCACAGGAGCTGGGCCCCACAGGAGCTCCTGGAGGCCTCCTCATTTGCTCGGTCACAGCCTCCTGCTCAGCCAGAAACAATCTCTGCTCTGCCTTTTGCCTAGAGGGAAGCTCAGGCAAGGCCAAACCAGGCCCAGCTGCCCTCCGAGGCAGGAGCAGCAGCCCAGAGATCCCTCCCCACCTCAGAGCACAGCAACAGCTCCTGTGGGGAGGCCTCAGGAGCTGGCACTCAGCTGAGGAGGAACAGGAGCTGGGACAGCTCTTGCTGACACACGCACACACACACCAGGCACTGCTGCGGCACACAAGGGTCACAAAGGACGTACTCAGCATGTCCAGGCACTTGTCCTCTGTCCTCTCTCCCAGCAGCTCCATGCTGCCAGAGGAACTAGTCGTGCTCCAGGTGCACGAGCTGCTCCTGCTTGAGTTTCCAGCTTGGGCACTGGAGGCTTCTTCAGCTGCAGCTTGTGCAGGTGCCACGACAGAGGAGCTGGAGCTCTGGGACAAGAAATTAATTTGGGTCACAAATGTGCCTGGCAGAGATGCCCCTCCGATCTCATTTCAAATGCAAGCCCTGAGGAAGATGCTGCTGGCCACATCCAGGGCTCTTCACCTCTCAGCTTTTGCAGCCCACTTCTCCAGCTCAAGGCCCCGAACCCAAAGCCTGCTTTTACATGAGGGACAAAATGTCACCAAAGACACTGCTAACCCAAACAGGCACTTACTGATGCTGGCTGCTCAGGCCGCGGGCTGACAGCAGGAGCAGGGTCATTGGCACCTTCCTCCTCTTCAGCCTCTTCCTCGGGTGCAGAGGCAGCCGGAGCAGGTGCTGGCGCTGCCCTTGTGCTCTGTGCACAGACAGCAGCAGCAGGGTCAGGAAAGAACCTGTCATTCAGAGCCTTACGTCTCTTCAGCTACAGGCCCCGCTGCATCTCAGCTGTTCCTTTAGCTGCTGACTTTGGCTGTTCTGTGGGGAGGACCAGGTCCCTCCTGGGGACAGTGTCTCCTCATATCCTGCAAGGCTGTGAACTGCACTTTTTCACTGCTCTCTTCACTGGGGACAAGGAGCCTACACAGCCCCTGGGCACAGAGGGCCTCACTTGTACCCCAGGAGCATCCAAAGACATCCTATTGCTACCCCTTGTCTCTTGCTGAGACAAATTTCCAGTCCCTGTCTGAACAGTAGGAAAGTGATGCCTAAATGTCCAAGTTCCACACCCCTTCTCCAGGCCTCACAGGCTGGGGGAAGTGCTCTGGGAGAGCTGGAAAGATTCCAGTCCTCAGCCTCTTCAGCCAGGCAGGGCAGGTGCTGTCTGCTCAGAAACTTGCAGCTCTGCTTTGCTCCAGCCACAGGACTAGCCAGAGCTGCCACTTACTGATGCTGGATGCTCAGGCCCTGCAGTGGCAGCAGGTGCACTTTGGTGGGAATCTTCCTCCCATTTGGCCTCTTCTTCAGGAAGACATGCATCCAGAGGAGGCTCAGAGGTGTGTTTTGGGCTCTGCAGATAGACAGCAGTGTCAGGGACAGGGAACCTCTCTATTCAGCTCTGGAGCCAGATGCACTAAGGAGAAATCATCATCAGAGAAATGGCATTCTAATTGTTCAAACTCAAGTCAAATGGGCCAGTTAGATGGGACTGCACTCTCTTGTACAGGAGAAATTCCATCATGGCTTCAAGCACCAAGCAACCCAACTTTCAGCTGCTTAAAAGCTCTGAAAAGGAACTGGAGAAAACAGCCCAGGATCCAAGTCCTCCTGCAGCTTCTGCTGCTTCTGCTGCTGCTGCTGCAAAGAGCCTGGACTGTTCTTTCATTCATCCAACCAGGCTGGCACTGGACTGCACCAGGCCCAGCTCACAGCTTGCTCCACAATTGTCAAATGCTACCAACATCAAAGGTTCCTTTCCCACTCACCCAAGGAGCGGATTCTCTCCAGGCACGGGTGATGTGACCTGCAAGACAAAAGGGAAAAAGAAGCAGATGCTGTAAGGAAACTGCCTGTGCTGGGCAAGCCCACCAAATAGTCAGCAACCAAAGACAGAGCATTCTGCTTTCACTCCATCACTCCAGCAGCAACCCTTGTGTCACAC